TGAAAGCAATTCAAATTAATCTGCAAGCAACATGCCAACAACAAAACAGATCACTCAGGCCAGAGCAATTATCAGCACTGCTGTACAAAGTAGGATAATTCAATTCTGTAGGGTAATTCAATTCTGTAGCATTTGTATGCTCAGTAACATGACATGGAAGTTGAATATTAATATAGTAATTTACTGATTTATTACAAAAGCATGAGAACAGATATTCCTCCCACCCTGTAAAATGACAGCTCTCCACCACCAAACAGTGTTAAAGAAGGCAGAAATTCCCTTTCCAGCCCACCCAGATACCTACACATGGTCTCGCAGACACTCCACAGAGTAAGCCATTTTCTCCCTTGTTGCGTGCACACTGCATGAGACAAAAACCAAAATCCATTGCAGCAAAGAACACAGAAGTGAATTTTCACACATACTCCTCGTTGATCAAATTAATCAAGGTACAGACTGGAATAACTACTTAACCTGAAATCTGTCTGGGATGACTGTTTAAACACACACAGAGCAGAAACAGACTCAATTAAAATTTACATATTCAGTATTCAAGCAATAATATTCAAGCAATAATAAGTGTCTTATGACCATGAGACTTTAAGATACCACAATAATTCAAGGTAAAACAGCAAATAAAGTTGAACAGCAAAACATGGGAAAAAAGTGCCTAAGTATTAAACAAAGCAATTTAGAAATTACTCTCTTTGGGCAGAAAACATCCCAAAGGATGTTGGGAAACATCCAAAAGGATCATGTCCTTTTACTTCAACATATTTCTTACTGACAGGAACAGAAAAAGGGTAGAGTCATAAAACTCTATTTTTAACCAATTTCTAAGTAAGAAGATCTTACTGGATGCTTTCAAGATACACTGAAAGAAAGCAAGTACAGTGAGACCTCTCTTTTATTCCTCTTAAGTCTTGTTTTCTAGGCTTAAAACCCCCAATTCACAAAAGCTAACTACTGTTTGTACTGCTCCCAAGGTTACAGTCTATTCACAAAAGATGGAGGAAGAAAATGCAATCTACTGACTTTGAGAATAACTTTCCTAAAGTCTGCAAAGGCAGAAAGAAAATCAAGCTCCTAAACAAATTATATTTCTTCCATGGGCACAATATTTATATTCTGTTTACTGAAAGATGTTTCTAAGATACAAATCATGAGCTCATCCTTGAAGCTTAACAGAACAAAAAGTACAAGATCTTCCTTGGCAACATTCACTATTCAAGTACCCTGCTGAGCTTATCCACCTACACATTTTGTGTTTATTGTCTTATGTTTCCTTCAGTCCTAGAGCTCCTGTGCATCTCAGCAACACAGATTATCTTTCTATGTGGGTACAAACCTCAGGCTGCCCCCAACAGCTTCAATGCCACGAGTGATCCTGAAGGAGGAAGCTCCTTTAGTAGTCTATTAAACAAACAAAAAAAGGTTAACTTACAATTCTAGCTGTTTAAAACACAGATATTGAGTTGATGGCAGCAGTAAGAGAAACTACTCAGAAATATTCCACACATGCGCAAAACGGAGTTTGTGTCAATCACTTGAACTAATTATTACTGCAGCTTGAATAGAATTAGTTATGTGTATATTTGGATACAGATATACTATATATATATATAGTTTAAGACTCCAGAGGAAAGCACAATTATAAATGAGTATTACTTCCCATCTTCCAGGACACACTATCATTCCTCCTGCACTGAACCACATAACCAAGTACCACGGTACATCATTCTCCACTTCCTAAGATCCCTTACATTAAATTTTATCACACCATTTATTTTTGCAATAATAAACCATTTCACCTACTGTCAACACAATAACAAAGGCAATAAACACCTACCAAATTAGATGCAAGACGAAGCAGGTGAGTAGTTCCCAGGTTACTGTTGATTTCATATCTGCTGCCTGCTTTAATAAACACACCAATTTTTGAAACTGGAGAAAAGTTTTCCAGAGATGCAATAACTAAGCCATTTGGTAATTTTGTGATCTGTATTAAAAAGAAAAAAAGTTTTGTTTTCATTCAGTGGTAAGTACTATCACAGCTCTGCTTTGACTGAGTTTTAAAAAATAAATCTAAAACAGAGGGAGGAAAAAACCAACCTGTATTTTTATACTGACCTCAAGACCCTGGGAGTCTGGACATAATTTCACCTTTGCTGCAGTTGGTGAAGATGAAACTTTAGGAGCTACTTTCAGTGAGTAAAATCTCTTCTAAAGGAGAAAGCATAAGAGAAGGGATGCCCTTAATTAGTTCATCACATTTCCTTAAATACTGAAAAAGAATCTGACTTTAAAGTAGAAATACAATTACGGACTTCAAACACTGAAGTAAAAACAGTGACATGTAGGCACATCCCCAGACTGTGGGCCTCTTAAAATAGGTCCAGAGGAGGCCATGGAGATGATCAAAGGACTGGAGCAGCTCTGCTACACAGACAGGCTGAGAGAGCTGGGGTGTCCAGCCAGGAGAAGGTTCCAGGGAGACCTCACTCCAGCCCTGCAGTACCCTAAAGGGCTCTTAAAAGAGATAAAGAGGGGCTTTCTACACAGGCACGTGGTGACAGGACAAGGGGAAATAATTTTAAACTGTCACAGAGTTGCATTAGATTTCAGGAAGAAATTCTTCCCTGTGAGGTAGTGAGGCACTAGAACATGTTGTCCAGAGAATTTCTGCATGCCTCATCCCTTGAAGTCTTCAAAGCCAGGTTGGATAGGACCTGGAACAACCTGGTCTAGTGTAAGATGTCCCTGCCCATGGCAGGGGGCTGGAATGACATGATCTCTAATGCCCCTTCCAACTCAGACCATTCCATGATTCTAATATTCCAGGATTTTAATAACCAGAAGCAGCCCTTCACAGGAAAGAGGTGAATACCACAAGAGCCCTGCATTCAGCAGCTGGCAACAGAAATGACAAGATTACTGATTTCAAATCTGAAATGCTATTACTTTCCATGAACTTTAGAAGTTGCTTATACCAGTATATTTACATATTACTCTTGTTTTAACGTTAGAAGATAACTTAATTCCTATGCATCTCAGGGTGAAAACCGAGTGACAGGAACACCACTGCACTGGGCTGTACAGATGCCAGTGATGTAATTCCCATTGCTTTACTGCTCACTGTATGAATCTAGGAAACAACCTTTCCTCCAAGGGTTTGGTAAGACACCTAGTTTAAAACTCTAAGTCTGCTTATTTATTAACCACTACCGCATATCTAAAACTGACTGACACGCTGTCACTCAGAGGTCATTCTCCGTCCCGCTGGAGCGCATTTCCAGCGCACATCCAGCCCAGTTCCACCCAGCTGTCCGCCAGCTCTGCGAGGGCTTTGGGCAGGACAAGCCCTCTGCCCCTGCCCGCCTCCAGGACGCGGCAATGCCAAG